AAACATGAGCTCGTTATCTTATTCATGGAAACAGTAACCAGGTTTCCCCTAAAGGGCTGTGAAGGGACAGGCTCGGGATGCAAAAGTGGTGGGGGCAGAGAGCAGGGTCCGGCCGTGGATATTACCTTTCCTTCTCCCAACAAAAATCTTGGCACGGGAGAAATCCTTTGAATGGCAAAGCTGATTCCCCCTTTTCTAAGCAAATAACCCAAAAGCAAAGTAAAATCCGTGGGTTTTCTGAGGTAAAAGCTTCTGGATTCATCTTGCTCCTGACTGGATGGAGCACAGCCATAGAATCTCCCTGCAGTAGCTGGCAAGGAAAGCATGTGTAGAAGTAGTCGTGAAGAGGTGAAGCAGTATTATAATAAGTTTGTTTCTTGGCAATATGGGTTTTGCTAGGCATAAAAGTACCTTTTCTTGCCTTGGTGTTATAGAGCTTTAATAGAAACCTTAAATAATTGAAAGTGTTCAATGGAGAGAGGAAAACCAAGTGACATGATGCTGTGATTGAAGATAAAAGCAGTACCTCCCTTCTCTAATGGTGCAGGGCTCTTGATTCTGTGACCATGATGACTTTACAGAATTGTTGAAAATCCAGTGAAAAAATGAGGATGAAATAGGAAACACATCTGGAGAGGTTGCACCCCCGAAAGTCCTAATTTCAGTATAAACTTCTGAATGAAATGCAACTTCCCTATCCTTGTTTTTTCCTTTTCTTTTTAGCATAATGGTCATTATTAACAGCAAGCTATCTAAGGGTCAAAGCCCTGAAAATTATTGAATTGCAAAACAATTATTTTCATTAAGTGTCGTCGTCTGGATTTTTTTTTTTAAATAACGCTAAAATACTGCCTTAATTTACTGCAGTCATTCACCCTTTCCAACAGCAGCCATGAAGAGGAAGTCTTCCACTGTGAGGGCAGTTTTGCTAATTGATTAATGGCCCAGGGAACAAAGAAGGAGAGAAAGTAAATTTCCCCAGGTCCCGTGACAGCAGCTCTCCTCCCTTACCCTTAATAATAAAAGACCATAGCCCAGCTCACCGGCACCACTGCAAGGACTGAGACTGAAATCCCTCCAGTTTCAGATATCAAACATCCCACCATGACTCGTCTCCTGAAAATAGCCTGGGTGCACTGATGGATATGGGCCCTTGGGTAGCAGGGGTGGGAAAGTGACCTGTCCAAAAAGTTGTTTAGATGTCCTCAGGCCAAGGGAGGTAGGAGAGAAAGGGGAGAGAAGAGATGCTTGGAAAATTGGGGGATGGAAAACCTGTTTTACCATGTTTGGGATTTGTTGTGTTGGGATTTATAACTCTTAAAAAAGAGAGGCATGATTTCTGTTTCTATCACATGCAAACCCAACTGATGGAGGAAAACGCTCTAGCAGCAGGGCTTATAAATTAGCTGTGAATGATTTGTGGCTGGTAGTTAGTAGAAAGGACCTAATTTCTGAAAGTGGCCTTACAAAACTGAATCTGGGTGGTGCTTTAGGTTGTCCACGTGCGTGTCCAAGCCCTGAGTGTGCAGCCTTTTCCAGCCCTGGTCTCCAATGCTCCTCCTGAATCAGGAGCAGAGACTCGTGGAGTAACTCAGGCTGGAGGTACCCTGGGGTCTCCAGCCAGACCCTGCTTCCAGCAGGACCAGTGCCACAGCTGCACTGTGGTCCAGGCAACTCAGGGCATCCCTGGGGATGAGGATGCTCAACTGTTTGCACAGGGAAGGGCTGTTCCCTTGGGGTCGAATGGGTTTTCTTTTAGGGTGGCAGCACACAGAAGCACTGGGTACAGATTAAGGCCAGATCATCATTAATACACGTGCCAAGAGCACACGGACTGATTTTTCTGACTCTCCAAAAAAATGTAAGTTGGAAGTCTCCAATACCAGATTTCTCGGTGGCTGTGATTAATACCTTGTGCAACCTTGAAAGCTCTTGCTCCCTTATTCCTAGCAAATTGCTTGAGCATATCCTGGAGTGCATCAATGTCTAGACATGCTGGCCTAGAGCCTAAAAAATTTGCAGGATGCCTTCCGAGAAGACCCCAGAAGAGCTTTCCTGGTCTTATCTAATAAGGCAGAGGCCAAAGAGGTCTATTGCTCCTGCTATAAATGCATCAGCCAGGGAGATGCTCTGTTCCTGTCCACCCCCCAGTCCCACAGCTCATGCATGAAACCATCACCTGGAGTGAGATGTTACTGGAAATTACTCCTCCCTGGAGGAGAGGTACAGAGATGTAAGATATTTAAGGCTCCATATGCAAATGTATGCAAAGCAACAGCCACTGAGACAGCCCGTAGGGAAGTGCAGTGCAAAATAGTGCAATTTATGGGGTGCTGGGTAGGAAGGGAAAAAAAGCTCTTACACTACTCATCATCTATCTAGGTCATGGCTGGGGACAGTCTGGAAACCTCAGCCGCTGTGGAAACCTGCTGAGGTTTGCCTGGCTGCGGTCCAGCCGCTTTCCCAGCACAGAGAGGAGACATTGCTGGCACAGGCCAACGTGCCTGCTGCCTGCCTCCATGCTCCAACACCTGGGGCAGCCTCTCTGCCGGGACGTGAGTTGCTGCAGCACGGATGTAGCTGATAGAGAAAAAAAATAATTATTAAATCCAAGGTGGTGAATATTAGAGATATCTGCGTAGTGCGGCCGTCCCTTTTTGTCCCCACCTCTGCGCCGGCCTTTAGGTATATGAGGATGGGCTCAAGTCCAGATATAAAGGCTATCAGAGGCTAATGGAGCACTGTGGAAATTTGCACCCAATTCACAATCTGGTCGCTCAAACCGCTGATGACACCAGGATACAGAAAAAGCAAAATATAAGGTGCCAAATTTGCAGTACATCAGAGCTTTCCTCCGTAAGGTGCATATAGGGTGGCTCTGCCCAGGCAGGGGAGGATGCAAAACCACTATGGATTTTAATTTGGTATTTATTGAACGACTGCTTTTTCCTTCTTAAGCAGCCCTGGAAAGCATCCAACTTGCTTTTGCACAACAGTTTGCTGATCCTGCTCCACACCGTGCTGAACCCCAGCTCTGGGGAGTCAGCAGGCACAGAAACCATGAGCATCGATGGAGTTTTGCTGCCACCCTCAGCAAGGGCAAAACAAAACAATAATCAGGCTCCAGTTGCTGCGGAAAACACTCATTTTGAAATTAGAGATGGGAGAGAGCTATTGCGTTGGACGGTCCCTGCACATTTGTAGTAATTAAAACACTGGGCAACCTGAGAGCGTGACAAAGAAAAAAAGTCAGAAAGGTCTCACGAACCTCAGCAATAAATAGTTCCAAAATCTGGCGTTACCCTATTTCCAGGTATTTAAGTCACGGTCTCTGGAGCTCAGTGTGGCAAAACCCAAGTGACAGAAGGCTGAGACCCTCCAAGACCTGGGCTCATGCCCCATTTTGAGTGCTGGGAGTAACCCATTTATTTAAATTTAGGCACCTGTTTAAGTCTTCCAGGACACAAAGGCAGAGGAGAAGAGAGCAAACAATGTCCAAAGGCAAAGTGGCCTAACTTCAAACCTTAGGTCTTCCCTCAATTAAAGCATCACGTACTAATAAAATATTTTTGTGTTAAACAGGCAGTTATTGGAAAAGGTTTTTTGTGGTTTGTTTTCCATAGCATCAAGGCACACTCAGAAAAATCTGCTGTCACTGGATATGTTGCACTTCTTTACCTGCATTTCTTTACCTGCAATGCTCATGTTGCGTGCTCCAAGAGACCTGTTCTATGGAGGTATTGTTTAGAGTCCTCTCCCCAAAATTTGGCATTAGCTCAGAACACAGCCACAGCAATCCATCCTCCTTCCACTCTTCTGTCTCTTCCATCTCTTCCCCTTTGCTCCTCCAGCTTTTTCTTCTCCACTGCCCAGCATCCCCACAACCATCTCATGCCCTCCTCCATCCCTGTGCCATGGTGGGTCCTATGGTGCCCCATCCCCAGTACACCCACCTCAGCCCCTTTGGGTCCTGTTTGCTCTCCAAGTGAGCCTAGGAGTTATCGTTGCCTTTCATGGCCTCCACCTTTGTACAGCTGAAAGCAATTTTAGGCAATGACGATCAGTTTGGATGACACAATTTAGCAGTTTCCTACTATGAAGTCCTACCAGCCCATAGCACATGCCCCAGCTGTGAGGGCCCAAGGAGGCCACTGGTTTAGCACTTGCTGGTGTTCAGCATCAGCTCATCATCACGAGTCCTCAAGCTCAGCGTTGCTTCTGCAGACCTTGTTTCTATGCCTGCTCATACAAATGCTTTTTGCACAAGCTGAAAGCTCAGCATGGTGGAAAAACAGGGCAGCCTGAAATTATAAGGAATGTGTCCATCTTATAAATGCCCCTTTGCCAGTTCATGACTGGATTCAGCTTTTGGCTTTGTGATGTTTTCAAACCAAAACCAAAACTTTTTTAAAAAAAATAATCTTCAATTAGATATGACCATAAGCTGCAACTCTGAATCAAAACATCTGTCCCAGCCCTGAACCTAGATACAGATCTGAAGTTCTCCCATTTTCTTGATTTTTAAAAATAGGCCAAATCTGAGCCTATGTCTTATACGTCTTATAAAGTGCTGAACATGGCTTGTACAAAGTTCCCCCCTCGGCATCAACGGGCTGCAGGGGCCCAAAGGACTCTTAGTCATGTAGCCAACAGGATTAGGGACCTGACACGTCTACCTCCTAAGGTACATGTGCCAATACGTTACAACATCCCTCTGTGACTGACTGGAGTACTGTCAAAAATCTGCCTGGGAGTTTAAATGCTACCGATTTTCATGCAGCATATAAAAGGGGGATATTTTTGCTTTTCACACAGTCTGTGTTGTTTTGGTTTGGTTTTTTTTAATCCCAAAATGACTGATCTAGGAAGAAAGATCCTGTTAACTTTCTTAGGAGGGTGGGCTTTCTCCTCCTAGCCATATTAATTTATTTAATTTATCTTAAATTTGATTGCAGTGAGCACCCCTAATTAACCTGATTTTTTGCTGATAATCACTCACAATGGAATCAAATCACAAATCCGGGGATGGATTGACCGGCACACAGAAAGAAGCTGCCCTCCGTGCATTAATTCAGCGAACGGGATATAATTTGATCCAGGTAGGAACTCACGGTCACGTCCTTTTTTGCACAGTGTCTGGCTTCATCCTGAACCAATGCGTTGCAGCAGGGGCTTGAGCAGTGGATCTGTGTACATGAAGCACTCCTTGCTAGTTTTTCTCCCTCTGTTTTTCTCTAATATATGTGCTGTACATAACTACGTGTAATAGATGCTTTCTTTTATGAAGTGGGATCTTACTCCTTCAGGAATTCTTTACCTGATGACAAATTATGATAAAGGTGGGGAAAAACCAAACAAGCACTGCAACTGCCGGGAAAGGTTGGAATCGCTTTCTCAAAGCCATGGCGGCAGTGGTTGCTTAGCAAAGAAAACCCACTAAACAAAGTTTCAGAAGAGCATAGGTCCAGAGTTGGCCAAAGGAAGTCCAATTCCTTACCACCAGATCTATCTTTTGCACAGATCCTTGAACACAAACAAGTACATGTGAGGCAGATGACTCACCTGCCCAGACACCAAAGATTTGTTCCCAGTCTGGTCTTCAAGGTCTCCAAGTGTAAAGCTTCCTCTGGTTAGGGCAAGTCGAGACTGGGCATGTCCTTCAAAAGCCATCTGAAGAAGTCTTGCTCGGTTAGTACATCCAAAACAGGCTAATTTTTTTTAAAGCATTGGGCACTAATATGACCAACTTTGCATCCTAGATTAAGTAACTGAAAATACTGAGTTTTAGGTAGGTCTCTGCCTTGAACTTTGCCTTGGTTTGATAGCACTAGAGGGCAAAACAGCCCAAAGCAACAACTGAGACTCCTGGGAAAAAGCATTTTCCTATAGCCCTTAATCCTGCGTGTGCGCCAGAACCAGGTCAACAGCTGCATTTATTGCCCTTGAGGAGGCTTTCTGTAGCACCTGACCCAGAAGATAAGTAACTTCTCCATGTCTTACTTTTACTGTGGCTTGCTTTATTCTGGTCTTCACTTTTTCATCCTGTCATATCTGGCTATAGCTCAGTCCTAAACCACAGATCCTTACCCCACAGCATCTTCTTTCTCCCCACTTTTTCCCTTTCTTTGAAGCTTACGATATTCTCTTTTTTTATTTCCCCTCCAATTTCCTTTTTGATGACTCTTTGGGGTCTTCTTCCAACCTAGCTATCCCTGCAGCCAATCACCTTCTTCCTCAATGCACTCTAGGCTCACTCATCTTTGTGAAGGGAACGCTGAAGTCCTACTTTCTTTCAGACACCTTGTCAAGATGAGTTTGTTGAGATGCTGCCTTCAAGCCACAAATGAAGCCGCTGCTGTTTTCACCTAGTGAACAGCTCAAGAGACAGAAAAATCCCACGCCGACAACATGTTCAGTTCAGCCAAACTGGGAACAGAAAAATACCCTGAAACATCATGATCTTTCTGGTAGATTTGCTATACAAATTCATTCATAAATTCAGATGTCTCTGTGACTCCATCACTATGCTGAAAACATTTGCAAAACAGGAATGAGCATGGATGATTCAGGACCTGTTGTAGGCTCAGAAAAACTGAAAGAGCTCATGGCATATTCTTATTTTCCTACAAGGGTCCCCATTTGCTTATGTGCTTTAGGTTTTTTCCTCTTAAGTCAGCCATACAGGAAGTACCTGGAATAATCCCAGAGTGGGAAATGACTACAGGAATGATCAAAGAGATAAATATGGAAAAATTACTAAAGCCCCAGCTCCTCTGGGTGTAGGGCGTTGTTGGAGGACAGGGGAAGGAGAAAGAAGGAGAGGGAGGAGGAGAGGGAGAGGAGGAGAGGAGAGGAGAGGAGAGGAGAGGAGAAAGGAAATTGAGAAATACAGGAAAGATTATTAAAATACTAGAGGAAAACAGATAAACACTCGCCTAGAAAAACATAGCAAAAAGTGGAAAAATTGGCTGATTCATATCTCTGGATATTTTCAGGGTCAAGACTTGCTCCCTGCTTAAAGAAACTCCTGGGCAGACAGACGTCATCTTTTGCCCCTCGCATGGTCTCCCACATGTTCTCTTCTGTCCCCTCCGTGGGGTTGCTTCTGTCACCTCCTCTGCCCAGACCTCCCTCTCTGCTGGGCTCCTTTGGAAAATCACCAGTACAGTTAGAGAAAGGACTTCATTGCTCCTGGGTGCAGGAAATGGCGGGAATTGGGGTGCACCATCCCTCCATGCCCATCTCCAGTTCCAGGTCCTCACCTTACCTTATATAAGGTGTTTGTACCCCTTCACTAAGCCCAGCTGCTTGCACAAACATCTGTTTTCAAATGAGTTGAGCAGCTCCAGCATCACCTACCGGCATTCATACCTCAGGCTCCCTGGCTGCGTCATTCTGTCTGTGTCTCTCTCCAAATTTCTACCTTCATCCCCAGTTTTCCCCATATATGTTAGCATTTTCTGAGGTCCAGATGCCTTCAGCTTTTGGAAAGTCCTTCTGCTTTCAAACATGATCCTTCCAGTATCTTTTTTCTGGTCTGTATTGGAAGCTGTCCATCAATTACTAAAATAAGAGGCAATATCAGTGCTAATAATGTTGATGATTGGATGAAGAATTGTGACAAGTTATAAATTTTGCTAGTGTCATATTACACAGTTCACAACTAACACACAGTCCATTGAGATTCATCTCCCATAGCCAAGATGACCTACATTTTCCAAGGAGGTATTGGACAGTGTCCATCTTGGACATCTAAAGTAGCAACTGGGTTACAGAACAAGCACTGGTGCATGTTCCTTAGCAAAACTCAGTTAGGTACAAACCAGTCTCTTCTCTAGCACATCACCAGCATCCTAACTGGAATATCAAAGCCTATCAGGAGGTATGGCAGTGGAGCAGCCAATACACACTGTGTTATCTCTGATGAGTCTGTAAAGAGTTGCTCCTTGCAGAGAAGGAGGGAATCTGCCTTCAACCCACTGTTAACAGGGTATATCTAAGGTTTCATTCCCTGGGAAGGGGTTGATTAACCCCACATGTAAAATCTGCCTCTAAATAATCCTTTTCTTTTTCCCCATGGCAGGAAAATGGGCAGAGGAAATACGGAGGCCCACCACCCGGCTGGGACGGACCTCCACCAGAGAGGGGATGTGAGATCTTTGTTGGGAAACTGCCTCGAGACCTCTTTGAAGATGAACTTATACCACTGTGTGAAAAAGTAAGATGTTATGCCTGGTAGTTGTATCACAGTGGTAAGTGATGATTAAAGCTGCATTTCAAGGCTAAACCGGAGATGATCTGGCCCAGACTACCCTTGGCTTGGTGGAGCTCTGACATAATATAGTCGAGGAAGAACTTGGTCTTGTTTAAATACCTCCCACCTTGCTGACAAACTCTTTCTTTTTTCTTGCAGATTGGCAAAATCTACGAAATGAGAATGATGATGGACTTTAACGGCAACAACAGGGGATATGCCTTCGTGACCTTCTCAAATAAACAGGAGGCAAAGAATGCAATAAAGCAACTCAATAATTATGAAATCAGGTAAGCGTGGCAAACACCTTCACATAAACTTTAAATTATATAGATTAATCTATTTTGTAAGGTATATTTTCCTCTACAGCCCAGAAGAAGGTTATTTAGATACCTAAGGTTTAAGAGGAAATCACTTCTTGTCTCCTTGTGCTGACATTGCTTTATACCATAGTACAAAGGCAGCATGAAGGACTTATCAGAGCCAAGATCTTTTGCAGGAAATTTCTTCCTGATTAAAAAAAAATAATCTATCAGAACATTGGAAAAAATATTTTGCTTTGAATCAAATTAACTTTCGCCTAACCATTGCTGTTTATTTCTTGTTCCTCCCCAGGCTGTTTTTTGTTGATTTATTCCTATCCACAGTCTCTTTCATGAGCTATACTGCAGATATGGTGAAATAGAATGGTGAAATAGGGTGGATTGGGCAAAACAGTGACATTTCCTTACAGGAACAGAAAAAAGCCCTCATATTTGTGACTAAAAAGTGGGAACAAAACACTCAGAAATCAACAACATATGGGCCCATCAGTATGTTTTGTTTTGATTTCAACCACATACAATGTTTTTTTCCAGTTCAAAGTGGGATGAGTAGGTGTTGCTTAGAAGCATTTAGAGATAAACCGTTCTTGCAGTTTTATATCTCTCACCAAAAAAAAAATTAAAAAAAGAGACAGAGAGAGAGAGA